GCAGGGAGCCCGATGCGGGACTCGATCCCGGGACTCCAGGATCATGACCTGAGCCGAAGGCAGTCGCTTAACCAACGGAGCCACCCAGGTGCCCCATGGGGGACCCTTCTTCTTACCTCCTCAGAGCCATCAGAGAGCTCCACAGCATTCTGGAAGCTTCTCTGTTTGCACTCAGCCACCCAGGGAAGCTGGCTCATCCCTGGTTCCTCCAAACCTATTCTTTCCCACTGAGTTTCTGAAATTCATGTCCCTTTCCTTTACCTGGTCTAACTGGCACCTGCTCCCCAGTCCCACCGAGCGCCCACCTGCTCTCGCTGAGGCTAAGCACCCATCAAACATCAGACAGAGAACACAGTTCCAGGCTGAGAGTAGCTGGCTGTCTAGTGGCAGGAGGGGAGGCTGCATTGGTTCCCCGATTCCTTCGTTCAGTGCTCGTAAACCTACATCCTGGCAGGATGGCAGTGGGCAGTGGGTGTGGATGAGACGCAGGAAGGGCATGGTCCATGCGAGGGGTGGTCTGGACCCCAGCTCTCACTGTCCCCGTGACCCCGTTACCTTCACGTCTCAGGAGAAGGCCAGCAGTGACACCCATCTCAGGTGACCAGAGGCAAAGTGAGTGGGGAGGGATTTGGCACCAATCCCAGCTGGGCCACCAGCCTCCACCTGTCACCGAACATCCTTCGGCCACGTCCTGACTCCAGCTCAGCCGGGCGGCTACGTCCAGGGCTGTTTTCAGATTTCTCAAAACTGGTTTACGACGCATGCCAACTTTCTTGACTAAGAGAATTACAGAAAGCAGAGTAACAACGGCTTTTTGCTGAGTGCTGACCACCACATGCCCGGTGCTGGGCTAAGCCACGTGGAGGCGTCACCGGATTTAATCCTCATGAAAAGGTTTCCGTGTGCAAACCAACAGCGCTGCATTGCAGACAGGGACACAGAGCTTCCGAACGCCTATGGGAACTAAGAAACTCTGTCAAAGGAGACCAGCTCATCTCTGCGACTTGGGAAGCTGTGTTCTGTCCCCGATGCCACCCTGCCCCACGCCGGGGAGATGTCAAAGTCGGAACCTAAGTGTGAGATCACCCCGCCCTACTGCCTCTTCCCCCCAAATACAACGGGAGGCAGCCTTGGGCAGGACGAGGGGCCTGTGCGGGGGGTCCCCCCCATGTTGAGAAGGCACGGGTACCCATGAGTCGTCTTCAGCCCGGGACCCCACCCAGCCACCGACAGCCACAGAGCGGGGGAATGACCTCTCTCTCCTGGCATCAACGGACCAAAACTCTCGAATCTCATCTCCGGGGTCACAAAAATACCCATGCCACCCGATTTCTAATCTATCGATATACACATGAAATTCACTGGAAATGACCATTGTGTACGAACTGCATTAGAATGGGTAACGCGGGACCAGACACGAGCCCCAGTCGGGAGGGGAGGACTCTGGCCATGCTGGGAGGGAGAACACTCAAGACCTGCAGGCGGCAAGAACCAAAAGGCGACCACTGACCAGCTCGGGCTTCACTTCCTCCGCGAGACTACAGAGCTTTTTCCACTATGAAACATTTGGGGTTCTCCCATCTCTCCCTCTTACTGGTCCCCATCCTTCCATTCTATAGCACACACGCCCCTTGGTCCCAGGCACCTGCCCATGCCCTGCAGGCTCACCTGGGCCAGGTCAGAGGGCAGATGCAGGGAGGGATCCAGACCCCCACCCCAAGGCTCTGGCAACATAATGACGTGAGCAGGTTATGTCCTGACTGCATGTCTTGTGTTAAAATCCCGGGCTCCTTCAGACGTCCTCCCTCTGGCTCCAGCAGCAGCCCGGACAACAGTCAACCTCATTCGGAAACCCCACGTTGCTCCTGGCGCCTGCCTTCCGCCTCGGCTGACAGCCCTCCTCCTCCAGGGAAGCCAGGGCGCAGCACCTGGGTGCAGCCCGGGGCCTCTGTGGCCAGGCCAGCCGGCCTCCCTCAGGCCCTGGGGTGGACGGGACAGCCCTGGACCGGGCAGGCGCACTTTCTCGGTTTTAGCAAAAGAATGTGCTGTGCTGGGAAGCAGCCCGGCTCCCAAAGCCACACATCTGTGAAGCAGGCTTGCGTCTGCCCCAGTGAGTCTCGGCAAAGACAAAGCGTGGCTTTCTTCTGGAAGGAGGGGCCCTCCCTCCGGGGTCCCAGGCCAGGGCGTCTTTCGCAGAGTCTCAGGGCCGGAGGGCTGTCGCCAAGTGACAGGGGACGCGGGGAGAGGCAGCCACCTCCCAAGTCCCGTCTCTCCTGGGCTCCGGGGCCCTGGGACTCTGCATCCCCCTGTCCCCTCCCCCCCAGCCCCCTCCCCCACCGCTGGGGAGCTCAGGTTCCAGCCTGGGCCCCCTGCAGGCGGGCCACAGGGCCGGAGAGAGTGGCGCTTACCTGGGCAGCGCGGGGCGCCACTCAGTCCATGCAGGGGCCCGGGAAGTCGTGGGCAGGGCGGAAGGCACTCGGCGGGCTGTCCCAGGCGGCCCTGTGAGTGAGCAGCGTCCCCCACCCCTGGGGCAGGGCGACTCAGGGTTCCGGCGTCCCGGGGGGAGGGGGGGTCGGGGCGGGACGGGGGCGGCCACCTCCGCAGAGGCCCATTCAGAGGGCGGCAGGAGAGCGTGGCCGGGAAAGAATCCGGGACTGCTGCGCGGGCCGCCTGCCCAGTCGGTGCCTCCAGACGCGGGCGGCCCCGCCTGCTCACTGCGCAGTCCGCTTCCTCTCCAGTCCTTTTCCCTTTTCCCCGCTTTAACCTCTTGCAAACCCCCAGCTGAAACCCTCCCCAGCTCCGGTCCAGCCCGGGGGCCAGCATCAGCCAAGGGGTGAGCAGTGAGTACGGAAGGACCCCCCCACCCCGTACAGCAGGGTCTGCTGCCCCAGGACCCGCCCCTCCAACGCCACCTCCCCCAAAGTGGACCAGATTCCCTGGGATCCACTGCTCACAACGGAGAGGCCTCCACCAGCCACAGGAGTCCCTGGTCAGCGCCGCCCCGCCTACTCGGGTCCCCTGGATGGGGGCATACCGCTCACCGGGCCCCCACCACCAGCCTGAGCCCTTCACTCCACCCCTGCCCCGGGCAGCCGGGGACCTTCCTCCAGCTCAAACCCTACAGGTGTTCTTCCTGGACGCAGCTGACTCTGACACCTCCCACCCGGCAGCCTTACAGAGTCTCTTTCCAGCTCTTAGCTGGGGCCCCTCACTGATGGCCGATTCCACCAACTGGCTGCTGGCAGACCTGAACGTTCCTCTCTTCCCTTGTCTCTGTTCATGTCCTTCCCTCTATCTAAAAGGACAGCCCCACCCCTCAAAACAAACTGGTGAAGAACTCCTATACACTCTTCAAAGCCCATTTCAAAATGACCCTGCATTTTTACATGACTCGGAACACCATCCCCGACAGTCAGATGGAGGTATGTGCTCCATCCCTCGTGGCATGAAACCGGACTGTGACGAGTCTGTAAAGCAGAGCAGAGGCACGCAGCCGGCCTTCGAGACCGAAGCTCCCAGAGGCAGATGTGCATTTCTCGGTGGAGGCCCATCAAGCACAGCACGCAGTGGGCACTCACCCCTTGCCTCTCCTGCCTCATGGGTCGGGCACAGACCCACTCACCCCTCAAATCCCAGCACCGTGGTGGAAGAAAACAGGTACGAGCCCCTCACAGGACAGGGGTATGCGAGGGAACCCCGGGGGCCACTTCTCTGAGCTCCTGGCCAGGAAGAGCCCCGGGACAGCTGCCCCAGGTCTGTGCAGGGCACTTCCTCCGGCTTGTTTATGTGCCTGCAGCAGGGGCAGCAAAGCATCTGTCGGAAATGTCTGACCACAGCCCAGCGCAGCCTTAGTTGGCGGATGGACGGGCCCTTCCCCTGGCCCGACTCTCCCTGAACAGAAAGGAAGATGATCATCGTGCAGCCAGGCCCAGGAAGGCGCTCCTCAGGGTGGGCCCTTCCCGTGGTGCCCGGCGGACGCCGCGGGCTAACGGACGTGGGGCAGCCATCGGGAGGGTCAAGGGGAAGCAGGACACGCTTTCCGAAATACTGCTGCTGTGTAACTTTGTGCAAGCATTCCACGACCGGGACTCCCCGGGTGGGAGTCTACAGACACCGAAGAACCTTCTGGAGATGTGTCTGCCCGGCCTGCCTCTCCTCCATGCTCAGCAGTAGCAACGGGGAAGAAACCGATTTCACGGCTGTGCTCCGAAGTCAAGAAGCTGTCCCCTGAAACTGCTGTCCCCCGCTCTGCAAGAGGACCTGGGTCAGCGGAAGGACACCCCTGAGCTCACTCTCGCTGGGCCCCAGCAGGGTCACCCCAAGGTCAGTGGTCACCGATCAAATGCGGACGTGGCCCAGCTGCTCTCCCTCTGCACACTCAGCTCAGAAGGTGCCCACCGGCCCAACGCATTCTCATGGGGCCTGCGGTTCACCCAGTGAAGCCGAATCCAACGCCCGACGGCTGGGGCAGCTGCAGGATGGGTCTGAGGACTTAGTGCATGACATAGCGAGGGAAGTTCGGGAACCTCACAGGGAAGGTGCTGAGATGGCGGGGGCGGGGGGCAGGGGTTCACTCGTGCAGATTGCAGGCTTCTCCCGCGAGTGTAGAGGGGGCTCTGGGACCACACAGACGAGACGTCCGGTGACCCGCACGCAGATCTCCAGCAAGGGCTCTGCCCTAGAAACACAGAACTAAGGGGTCTCGGGAAAGCTCCACAGGACACACAGGGGACACGGATCCTCAGGGGGTCCTGCTTTCCCGGGGATCCCCCACCCGCCAGCACCCGGGAAGGCATGCTCCGGGCTTCTTCCGATCCAGCCTGATGATCTGCTTTTGCAGATGAAGGATGAAGAGCAAACACAAAGCTCAGTTACAGTCTGACTTCACGGTAGCCCAATGTCAGGGTCCTCCAACGCCCGGTCAGACCGCCTGCACCTGAGGGCATGCAAGATTCACCCACAAGCCGCCCCCTCCCCAGCACACTGGGCCTTGTTGGAGCATCGAAATGTTCTCCAAACGAGTGGATTCTTATTCCCCTGGCTCCTGGGTTTCCTATAAACCAGCTCTTTCTCTATGTAAGCACGTATAAGTGCCTGACTCGTAGTAAACGCTCAAAAGCAAAGGATCCCTCAGTCTAGGCCTAACCGGGAATATGCACACGCACTATGGATTCAGGCATGCTATTCCACGTGCGTGTGAACACGTGCTGGAACATGGCGGCATTTAAACCCAAGACGGTGTTTCCTCACCTAATCAGGGCGGTTTGGGCAGGGCCTCTCTGGGTCAGGGATGCACCCTAACCCGGGGGCTCAGCTGAACGCCCCCAAGGGCTCAGGGAGGGGGTCCACAGCCAGGAACGACAGGTGAGAGGCAGATGGCATGTCCCCCCGCTCATGCCCTCTCTCTCGCTCAAATAAATAAACTTAAAAAAAATAAAGAATAAATAAAAGGTGTCCTGAGAGGTCCCACAACCAGACCACAGAGCGCCAGGGAGGCGACTCAGGCCCCCAGGAGCCTGTCCCCCAAGGGCTGGGGCTGGTCCTGCCCTCTGGCTGGCAGGGCTCAGAATGGGGGGACGCACAAGCCCCCCCCCCAATGAGGGGAAACACAGAAGAACCTCTACTCTGAGATTCAAGAACAGTCCGCCTGAGGGGGAAGAAATGAGCAGATTCAAATAAACTGGGAAAAACAAAGATCCCTCTAAACCAAAAGCAAGCACACAAAGGATGGCATTCATCTTGGCCGGGAAACGGTCCGCTCACATGGGGACACTTCCAGGCCGGCCTGCTGGGAATGAGGTGTCAGCACGGAAGGCCAAGACGGCGTGTTTTCAGAGCCACATTCCACCCGAGTGAATGAACGCTCTCATTCCCAGGCCCGGCTGCACATGGACTCCAGCAGCCCACCGGGGACGTTGATTTTTAAATATAGTTTGAAACATTCAACTTTCCTTTCTTCGTTTTCCTAATCGGGGGCCCCGGGGTTCAGGGGCCGGTGTACCCAAGGCTTACCCATACCAGTTACGTGGGGTCCACGGTCCCCAGGAGGCCGTCGCCGGCACCAATCGGCACGCACCCGGTGTCATGGGCGTGCACGACATGGATACTCCTGGCCGGTCCACATGCACGCCCTCCACGTGTGAACACACTACCAGGACTATGCAAACGTGCTTGCCTGCAGGAGCTGCAAGACGCAAAGTCATTGGGGTCTGCAAACATCACAGCGTGCTCACATTCAGCGCATGCCTTCATCCCTGTTATAAACATTCTCATCAGAAGTTCATGAAGTTTCAAAAGAAAAGCAGAGTCGGGTACAGGAAGGAAAGGGGACGCCTGACAGAAGTGTTTTATAATTTGTCAAGCTTTGAAGAACGACAACTTTTTTTTTTAAACAAAAATAAAGCATTAGCTCAAAGTACTCTCTCTGGCTCCCTCTCTCAATAAGAAGGTCCTGGATATGCCCTCTGGCAAATGTCACCCGTTTGAAACCAACTCCAAGGGGTCCCAATGGCTGCAAGCACACCCTTGTACCCGAGGCTGGGGTGAAGCCCCAAGAGCTCCGTCCTTCCCCGGGGAATCAGAATCCCTCCTGGTCACCAGGAGAGGGGACATTGCTCTCGTGACAGCCAGGGCCCCAGAAGGACCAGCCCCGCTCCCCAGAACAATGTGAAGACAAAATGGAAACTGTATAAAGTATAAAGGCGTCCTCTTTCAAGAAACTCACATTGCCTGTCGATCATCTTCATTGCCACCAGTGAAGGGACCAACGTCCCCGGTGGCCTCTAAATACCACCTGCAAAGCCATCACGGAGGACAGCGGGGTGAAACCTGACAAAGCTGGGGTCCTACACACTACACTAGCCAGCCCTGAACTGTTCACGTTCCCAGCGGGTTTCACGTTCTGTGGATTTCACCTCAACTGAACGAATCTCTCCCGGATCAAATTCGAAGCTGACGTACATCAGAGACAAATTTTGTGACGAAACATTCCCTCATTATTTCCCACTTACGTGGTGAATATCAAGGCTCAGTCTCATGTCAGAAAAGACGGAATAACTGATATTCTGACCTTCATCTTTCTCTCTTTCCTATATGAGGCTTGCGATTAAACCACCCCCTCACTGAAACTCTTACAACTTTCCTGTTTTCAAGAAGCACATTTCCTACTGAGGCTTTAAAAGGTTCTGCACCCCACCACGCAGCCCTCCCAAGCCGGCTGGGCCCCTACAATTCAACTCGACCCTGACACCATCTACCCCGACACAGTCGGTCCCCCAGCACCGCCCTCCCCCACGCCAGCCCCACGTGCAGGCTGTCACCTGGGTTCTGACCCACCAGCCACAGACCAGAGGTCCCCACGACCCCTCCCTGGGTTTGATGAAGCCACTGGGGCAGCTCACAGAACTCAGGGAGACGGTTTACTCCCTAGATCACCGGTTTGTTATAAAGGGTTAACTCAGGAACAGACAGAAGAGCTGCTCAGAGCGGGCTCTGCGCAGGGGGTGCGGGGCTCCCATGCCCCGCCCCAACAGGGCCCATGGTCCCCACATCTCCACATGCTCACCAACCCAGGAGCTCTCCAGACCGCGTCCTTTTGGGATTTTATTGGGGTTTCATTACAAGGACATGACTGATGAATCTTTGGCCATTGGTGATCGATTCAACCTGCAGCCCCGCCCCTCCCGAGGTCAGGGGGTGGGGCTGAGAGGTCCCACCCTGTAACCACGTGGTCGGTTCCCCCGGCAACCAGACCCCACCCTCAGGTGCTTCCCAAACATCACCTGGTTAGCATCACAAGAGACACCTTTCTGCTCCTCCCCTTAGGGAATTCCAAGGGTTTTAGGGCCTCGGTGCTGGCAAAGGGCACGGAGACCAAATCTGTCTTACTAGAAATCCCAGTATCACAGGCTCAGATCTGGAATTGCTGACAAGTCTAAGGATGGTGTCCCTGCATGCGCACGTTTCCCGGGGCGCAAGCCAGGCGGGTCAGGGATGCACTGAACACACCGACCACCCAGGCTCGCGCTGGAGGGTCCCGGGTGAGTCAGACCTGCGGGTCTCCGTCCCCACAGGGCTCACTGTGTCAGACAGAAAACCCTGCAGCACGCCCTCCTGGGTCCAGCTCATGGCCCCACCTGCCCCAGCACCTGTGCCCATCCCGTCCCCAATCCTTCCATTACCAGCACCTTTGGGAGAATTCAACAGTATTTGAATTCCTATTTAAAGGCTGACTGTTTGGGTAAGTGTTTAAAGGTCCCTCGCTGTCCTGGAGCTGGCGCTGAAAGAGGAGCTTATTGGGGGTCCGCACAGCGGGTCAGGGAGGGGCAGTCCCAGCTCTGACACCCACCCCTACTCCCCGGGAACTTGGCTTCTCATTCCAGCATCTGTTTCTACACCTGGGCACCCTTGGGCATGCTTCCTGATTCTTCTGCTTGTTCGGTGCAGAGAGGCTTGTTTCTGGTGAGGGGTGGATGTGAGGGGCTCAAGGCAGGGGGCGAGCCAGGCAGGCTCCGGGGACACCCAGCACTGAACCTAGGTGGCCAGAGGACCTGGAGGAAACCAGAACAGAGTACACGTGGGCCGTGGGCCGGGTAGCAGAGGACATGCACTGCCCCCAGAGTCAGGGTCCTGGGAGCCCCTTCTCCACGAGGCCTCGACCTTGGCCTTGGACTTCTGTCCCTGGAGGGCCCTGTCTTAGCCAGGATTCTGCAAAGTCATCCCTACCCAGCCCACCCAGCTTCTGCCCTTCTGCAGCAAGAATCCTGTTGGGCCAGTTTAGCAAGAATCCCCCTCCCCCTGACATCCATTTTAGGAACTTTCCATCCGCTGACCTGTCCCTTTGCTTGGGGTCTCTGCTGCTCACCTGCAGCATGGCTTTCCCCCCTTCGGCTGGTGTCCGCCTCTCTTTCTCCGACACCTGTCTTGTGGGTTGTCCCCGAAGTAACCTGGTGGCACTGGGTTGGGTTGATTGGGACTCAGCTGACACCCCGTTATCTTTGATGCAGCAAAGGGAGGGGTCCTATGCAGTGAGGTCTTGCACTAACTGCGCTGATGTGACTGAGACCATAACGGGAACAGCAAAAAGTCAGACAGCTTCGATTTCTCCCTTAGCCTAGTTAGCGCGTACTGAACCCTGCTCGCCCTTCAAACTCCAGACCTCCTCACCAGGCAAACAACCAGCAGGAACTGGTTCTCCCCAGTGTGGGATCCCTGGACCGGTCCCTGCTTATACGCACTGCACCAACAAGAGGACAGGGCTGGTGAACGTGGAGTGCCCCGTGCACACGTGTGGACCGCACCCACGTTTACTCACCACCAAGGGCTCCCAGATTTATACTTTAACTCCTCATCATATAAAACCCCACACACACCCAGAAGTAGGCAGAACAGTACAATAAAGCTCCACGGAGACTCCACCCAGCTTGTCCAACTGGCAGCCAACACTGTTTCAACCACACCCCCACCAACTCCCCCAACGGGACTAACACTGAACTTGAGAGTCTGAGGTCATTCTGGATTCATACGCAGAGGTCAGGAATTATACAGAGATGCCCTATAAACACCGGGGTGCAGGCTTTGTGCGAGTGTCAATCTATTTCTTTAGGATGAAAACTCAGGGCTCCTTGTCGAATCACATATATTAGCACGTGTAGGTTTTTTTTAAGAAAGTGCCAGATTGTCTCCCATGGAAAGGCTGCACCATGTCCCACCCCCACCAGCAGGACAGGAGAGTTCCAGTTTCTCCACATCCTCACCAGCTCTTGGTGTTGAACCTGTTTTTTATTTTACCCGTTATGCTGGGTCCGTAGTGATTGCTCGCATTTCCCTGGCGGTAATGACGCTTGCTGGGTGTCTTTCATGTACTCATCTGCCGTCTGTCCATCTTGTTCAGTAAGAGGTTTCCTCCTGGCTTTTACCTGCTTTCTGATCGGGTTGTTTCTTTCTTTACTGCCGAGTGTTTGGAGTGCAAAATTTTCTCTTGGTCTGCGGTCTGTCTGCCCTTTCACCTCTTAGCAGGTTCCTCCTATAGAAAATTCTTTCAATTTTGATGAAGTCCTACTTCATCAATTTTCCCTTTTATGGATTGCCCTTTGGGTGCTAGTCTAATAACTCTTGAGTAGCCTGGATCCCAAAGATTTTCTGCTATGTGTTTTTCCTTAAAGTTTTACAGTTTTATATTTGTTTATGATCTCTTTTAATTCTAGTATAAGATACAAGACTTTGGTTGATTTTTTTTTTTTTTTGACGGTGAGGACCATTTGTTGAAAGGACAGTTTCTCCTTCATTGACTTGCTTTGCACATTTTCCAAAAGAAATCAGTTGGGCAAATTTGTGTGGGTGTGTTTTTGGGTTTCCCATTCTGTTTCACTGGTCTTGTGTCCGTCCCTTGCCCCACATCACACAGTCCTGATTACCGTGGTTACCTAGAAAGTCTGGAAAGTAGTCAATCCATGCCTACTACTTTGTTCTTTTTCAAAATTGTTTTAGCTGGTCTCCTTCCTTTGCAGTCCCATATAAATTTTAAAAGTATCTTGTCTATATAAAAATTATTGCTGGGATTTTGATAGGAACTGTGTTAAAACTATACATCAGTTTGAGAAGAACTGACCTCTTTAGCAGGGTCTTCCAATCCATGAACATGGTATGCTGCTCCATTTATTTAGATCTTTGATTTCTTCCACTGACACTGTGGAGTTTTCAGTGAATGAGTCTTGCATGTTTTCTTAGGTTTACACCTTATTATTTTGCTTTTTTGATCTATTAGGAACAACACTGTATATTTAACTTAGGTCTGTACACATTCACTGCTAGTCTATGGAAATGTAATTGATTTTTGTGTGTATCTCCTGTGTCCTACAACCAGCTGATGCCCCTTATTTGTTCTGGGAGGATTTTTTGTAGATTCCTTGGAATTTTCCGCATAGATAAATCACAAATCTGCAAAAAGGGATAGTTTTATTTCTTCCCTTCCACTCTGTGGTCTTGTATCTCCTTTTCTTGCATGACGATCCTGTAGAACTTTCAGCATTATGCGTAAGCTGCAGGGTTTTAGTAGATTCTTTCTATTGGTTGAGGAAGGTCCCCTCTGTGCTGTTTTGCTGCGAGTTTTTAGTCAGAACAGATGTGAATTTTGTCAAAAAAAATTTTTCTTTGCATCTATTGATCTAAAATCATATGGTTTTTTTCTTCTTTATCCATTAAATATGATGGGTGACTGACAGATTGTGAAATATCAAAAGAGCTTTGCATCCCTAGAGTAAATCCCACCTGGTGAAAGTGTGTAATTTTTTATATACACTATTATTCGATTTCCTTGGGTTTGGTTAAGGAATTTTGTGTCTATTCATAACGCATAAAGGCCTATTGTTCCCTTTTTGTTGTCTTTGTCTGATTTTAGTACCAGGGTAACACTGCCTCCATGGAATGAACTGGGATACGTTCCCTCTCCTTCTAGTTTCTGGAAGGGGTTGTGTAGAATTAGTGTTAATTCTTTACATGTTTGGTTGAATTCACCAATGAAACCATCGGGGCCTGGAGATTGCTTTGGGGGGAAAATGTATACCTTATGAGTCAATTTCCTCACTAGCTACCAGGCATTCCAAGTGTCTACTTCACCCTGGAAGAGTGTCCCAGTGCAAGCTCACCGTGAACCACTGTGTGTGGCGCTGTCATCCTCTTCCTATCTGCAGGGTGCTCGGTGAGGGGCCCCTTTCATTCCTGGTATTAGCAATTTGTCTCTTCCCTATTTTTTGTCCTTCTTCTGAGAGATTGGCCAACTCTCTCGATCATCTCTGAGAACCCGCTCTTTTTTCATTTATTTTTTCTATTATTTCCTTGTTCAAAATTTCAGTGACTTCTGCTTGTATTTTCAATATTTTCTTCCTTCTGGCCATCTTCAGGTTACTCTTAATTTCAGATTTTCTCCTTTTCCAATGTATATGTTTACTGTCATGAGTGTTTCTCTCAGCTCTGTCTGAGCTCTGTCCTACCACTTGTGAAATACTTTACTTTCATTTTATTCATTTCAATATACTTTGTGATTTCCCGTGAGATCTTCTCTTGGGCCCATGGATTATTTGCAAGAGTGCCGCTTCACTTGCAGGCATTTGGACATTTTCCTGTTACCTTCCTGTTACTGGTTTCTGGTTGGATTCCCTGCATGGCATCCATTCTCTCTGCTCTGCAGAAGCCTGTTCCACACGGCCCAGGATGTGGTCCATCCAGGTTCCGTGGTCCTGGGGCCACGGTCAGTCTGCTTCTTTCCTCCAGGGCTCAGCCTTCTGGCATCTGTTCGACATATGGTGTGTGGCTGTACTTCTCGGGGGGCGGAGGGACAGGGAAGGCTAGGTCTACTCCATGCGAGGAGGCCAACGCCACCCTCCTGACAGGGATTCAAAGGAAATACTCTCATGTATACACACGGTGGCACCTGGTGCTCAATGACACAGAGCCAGGCACTACGTTAGATGCCTAACACATCCCACCCCACCCCTGCACGCTGGTCACAGATGAGGCATTCTTGCATTGGTAGATGAGGAAACAGGATCAGAGGGTCACTAACTATGAGAGGCACAGTTATTCCATGACCGGACTTAAATCCAGGCCCTGTCTACCTGACAATGTGGAACAAAACGCCCCTGGCTGGGGGATGAGGCTGACCGGCGTGTAGTCCTGGCTTTGCCCCCTGCCTGCTGTGTGGCTCGAGCAGTATGCTGAACTTCTCTGTGTCCGTTTCCCCACCTGTGAGTGGGACGACAGGGACAGCGGCCCCTGTAATGTGACCACAAGAGGAGAGAAATCATGCTGTGAAGACCATGGGGCAAATGTCATCTACACATGAGCTCCTGCAGTCTCCGGCCGGGGTGCGCCCAGCACGCGGGACCGCCCCACGCAAGCAGGGCCCTCGCGCTCTGCTGGGCCTACATTCTGAAGGTTTGTTCCGGTATTTTCTTTCCTTGGGCTCATCATCCATGTCCCACGGCCATCACCAGCATGTGTCGCACAAAGCTGGTCTAAACACGTGGTCGGCTCAGGGAGGAGGAGGGGGACGAGTGGAGGCAGAAGCCGCGTCCCTGTGTTTGCTGTCACCTACATGGTTCCAATGCAGAACAGACACGCGACGTTGTGAGTGCGTCTCCACGCTGACACACGCTGGGACAGGCGTCTCCTCCCGTGGGACGCTTCCAGAGTGCACAAACTCATGCAACCATACTG